GGCTACACATACCTGTACACTGTATATGTGCATGCACACACGCGTAAAGATCTGTGTATGCACGGTACACACATACATACACGTGCATGCACGCACTTACAGATTCATAGACATGCACGTACACACATCTATATGCATATGCATACACATACGTGTACACACATACACATGCATACATACACACATAAACATTTATATATGTACATGTGTATCTTTTATGCCCCCTAGATAATCGGCAGTGTCATTCCAAATGAAACATTACAGACGAACACATGAATGAAACACACGCATGCAACACATACACACACGTAGCATATGTATCATTTGGACCAACACTGCTGAGTGTATGTATGTAACTATATAAATATATGATGTATACATACACACGCATATGTATGAACCAAGCACATATATGAAACATTACACACATACGTGTACAAATACACACAAATATATGAAACATATACAAATGCACACATATATAGGTATGCACACAGCTATATGAAACGCGTCTATATACACACATATGAAACTTTGTACATGTATATATCCATAGGTGTGTGTAATGTCTCATATGTGTATGTATCTGTAGACACCTGTGTTTCATATGTGTGTGTATGCAGACACCTGTGCATGGGTCTTTCATATCTATGTGTGTGTTTGTGTGTATGCGCGTGTGTAGGGGCAGGAAAAACGCACATACATTAGTGTGTGTGTAATGTTTCATTTGGAACAGCAGTGCTGGGAGCAGGGGGACTGACACTGCTGCTCTAGAAACTGTAGAGCCCTGAAGTGTTTAAGAAGGAAAAACAAGGGGGTGTGTTTCTTGGGGGGGACAGAAGGAATTGAGAGAGAGGAGAGAGGGAGGGAGGGAAGAGAGAGAGAGGAGAGAATCAGGCAGACAGGCAGTGCCAGCCAATCAGAGGAGCTCTCCTGAGCTGCAGAAGCAGAGCATATGAGCTGAGGGGTTTGGAGGTGCACAGAGCTGGAGTCGTGTGCCTCTCTGAGGACTGGGAGCAGCTGTGCTGCGAGCACTGAGAAAAGTCCCCATTTGCTTCTTATAAATTAAGTTCCTTGTCACCAGTTAGGGCAAGTCAGCCAAGGTAAGGCTTAAATGAAATGACACTTTAATATGTAGCAACATGAATATTTCTGGACAATGGGGCTGCTAACACAGTCTGCTAAGCAGTGTCAAAGAGATTTGGTGGAATATTGCTCTAGCAGTGGATCCACAGCCTGTGCTGTGTTGATCTTAAAGTTATCTCTGATGGGTGAGCCTTACCCTTTTGATATTTTAGCATTGTGTTTGCTGATCCAAGGATCTTGCAGTGGAACCTGCAAACCATAAGCATAAAAAATATAGCTGTGTTCTCGCTGTGTATTTATCTGTGAATGTGTAATAATACCTACAGTTTTGCTGTATAACTTAGGGGAATAATGTGCAGATGCATTTTACTGGTGGTGATCACATTCAGATGCTTGGGATCTGAGCTCACTTCTATATGTGCCTGTATAGAAATATAGAAATTAAAAGCAAACCATGTGAGACTGTATAATCAGGAACATTAAACTTGGGATTTGAACAGTGATTTTTTAATCCTTCTTTCCAGAGCCCGTAGCATTACATGATATCTGAGCACTGAAACTGCAGTAGAACAGAGCTCTTGTCGTGGATATAGCTGTAGCTGCTTGTTAAAGCTTAAGCAGTGTCTAAACTTTTACTTTTTTTAAAGGGCATAGTAAATGATGCACAGCCACAGTTGAGTCCCCATTACATTTCCCCTCCTCCCCACAGCACCTTTATTAATGAACAAAAAAAAAA